TTATAATTATGGGCTCCTTCTACTTCTTCAAGCTCCCATCTCTGTTGAACTTGGTCTGCAGCTGCCCTGGGCCTGCAGGCTTTGAGCTCCTTCCTCTTCACCTAATAAACACCAAGTCAGGCTTCACGTGTCCCTCTCCCCACCTGCAGACTCACAGCTGACTTGATTGTCACTGTTTTGCTTTGCAAATCTCCAGCATCAAATCATCCAACTCAGTTCAACCAGTTTTGTGGAACACCCGTACTTGCTATGGAAAAGGTAGTGACAGGACATCCCTCATCTCACCAGGCACCAGCTGCTTCCTCCAGCAACCCCTCTGAGCTTCGCCCTCAGAACAGCTCAGAACTCCTTTATCTACCTTATCTTGACTCCTGTCATGTTCCCACAATATCTACTTCAATATCTACCTCTCTTTAAGCTCTCACCACCCCCTACACCCAACTGCCCCTCTAGTTCCTGTAGATGATTTTGCCTTAAAAAAAAAAAAAATAGAAGCCATCTCACTTGGCTTTCTCCATTCTTCTTCCCATCCTAAAAAACAACATAATCATACTCCAATTCTTCCTTTATTCTCACCTCTGTGGAAGGAATCAAAGTTACTCACAGATTGTCCATGAGTCCTCTTTTCTATTCAGGGTATTCTTATCTATTCCCATAGCTTTAAATACCATCGCCATATTTTGATGCTACCTACATTTTCACCCCCAGCTAACATATCCCTTGTGTGCTCAAGATTTGTCAACTGTCTACTATATGTCTCCAAACGAATGCCACACAGGTCCCTCAAATGCAATGTGGCAAAACCAAACTCAACCTCTGCTCTCTGTGAGTCATGAATCACTATAGAAACAAGGCCCTGCCCTGGTGAAGCTACTTTCTCTCTGCCCATTTTATGAGGTTTGCCACATAAGGCCCTCAGGCTTCCATCTGGATATGACACCTCTCAAAACTCATCTAGCCAAGTACCTTAAAGTTAAGATGAAGATGCTTTAGCACCAGTAATATTTAAAGCCCTCCTGTCAAGAGCCAAACTTCTTCTCATGAAGGTTTGCCTGTTCCCAACAACTAAGAGGCTCTCCTCCCTTTAAACCTGGGGTAACCATAGTTGACTTAGAAGACTGGGGGAAATAAGAAGTTTTCAGCTAACCTACATTTCTGAATATCTCCTATATGTCAGATACAAAAAAGTATATATGGGAGAATCATGGAATTCTAGGAAAAGAACTCTAGAACCGTAAGAGACCTTAAAAATCATTTCATCCACCACGTTAAGATCATCTAGGGAAAATGAAATCCAGAGAGTTCACATTGATCATACCACTCTTTGGAATAAAAATTCAAATCCCTGGGACATAATGTACAGCACAGGAAATACAGTCAATAATATTGCAATAACTATGTACGGTGAAGATGGTTATTAGAGTTATTGTGGTGGTCACTTCTTAAGATATACTGGACAGTGCAGCTCTAGATTAAGTGCAACCAAACTGAATACACTATTTTCTTACCAGTAATGTTTTGCAGGAACAGCAGAGGGATTTTCCTTTGGCAGCATAACTGGATGAAGTGAGCCCCCTAGAAGCAAATAAGATGAAAATCTTTCCAGAGGAGTGTTAACAAATCTATAATCACCATGCATCTACAAATGCCACACCTGGGTCAGAGAAAAGAAAGAATACCCTCTGCCTGACTCGTCTGACTTTATGGTAACAGTAACAATAATGCTACAGTGCAGACTCATTATCAATGGGACATGTGACTGTGGTTTATACTGCACTTGTTTTGTAGTCACCTGTGTGATCATAGGCACACACTGTAGGACAACTGCTGTGTCAGGGATGAAGTCAATCACTAACATTCCGAACAGCAAGTGACACTTAACTAACAGAAAAAAAAAAAAAGGATTGCTTGTCAATAAGAATTTCTGAGCCTCATTTTAAAAAGATAGAATAGCCAGGCTGGTGTGGCTCAGTGGTTGAGCATCAGCCTATGAACTAGGAGGTCATGGTTTGATGACCAAGTTGTGGGTAGGATCCCCAGTACAGAGACTGCAGAGGCAGCCGATCAATGATTCTCTCTCATCACTGATGTTTCTCTCTCTCTCTCTCTCTCTCTCTCTCTCCCTCCCTCCCTCCTTCTCCCTCTCCCTTTCCCTTCCTCTCTGAAATTAATTTTTTTTAAATAAAAAAGATAGACCAAAATTCTTTGGGGAAATCTATGATGATATTTACATTTTGATGATCATCTGCAATGTTTTCATGCACCAAGATTATAGAAAAAGACATCTTTCTTACCAATATACCCCAAATAAATGGGATTTTAGATGAGTGTTAGAGACCTTCTAACTCTGAATTTAGGAAATTGTTTAATGACAAAAATATAACTACCTTCTAAAGATTATGTGAGTAAGGACACTTTATAAACCATTTTCTCTCCATTCACAGATCCCTTTAACTCTGCTGGAAATGCCTTGGCAAGTACAAAATCTCAAAGCAACTGTTCAACCTCCAATACAAGAATGAGACCTTTGGGGCTTACTTCTATAAACAAAATGTCAGATTGAGGCCAAATGTAACTCCTCCCATGTTTATTTCTGTCAAGCCACCAACTAAAACTAGGTAGAGTGTGCTGGCCTCAGCCTGACATTTTCTTTATGGAAATTAATGTTTTATATATTCATTAAAAGTCATCAGTTCAGCCCTAACCGGTTTGGCTCAGTAGATAGAGCAGTGATGGCGAACCTATGACACATGTGTCAGAGGTGACACGCGAACTCATTTTTTTGGTTGATTTTTCTTTGTTAAATGGCATTTAAATATATAAAATAAATATCAAAAATATACATCTTTGTTTTACTATGGTTGCAAATATCAAAAAATTTCTATATGTGACACGGCACCAGAGTTAAGTTAGGGTTTTTCAAAATGCTGACACGCCAAGCTCAAAAGGTTCACCATCACTG